GTCCACATTCAAATTTCTATTTATTTTCAACAAGTCAACCCACATTTTTCTCACACTAGAAATGGCCGGGGTGTTTCTGCAAAGCTGACAGCGCCCCCGGCTGGTCATTAAGTGCGCCTGGAAGGTGCGGGTGGGCTATGAGACCAACGCCTCGTCGCTGTTACTAATTTAACTTAAATTCCATCAGCTCTGTTATCTGTTCATCCCAAACTCCTAATTTATCCCTTCCCCCACTTTCCCCTTTATAACCTTGTTTGTTTTCTATGTCTGTGTCTTTCTGTTTCATGAATAAGTCATTTGTGTCATTTTTCTAGGTTCCACATACGTGGTATCACAGTCTCTGTCTTTGTCTGACTGACTTCAGTCAGTACGATCATCTCTAGGTCTACCTGTGTTGCTGCAAATGGCATGGCTTCTTCATTTTTAACTCTGAGTAGTATTACACTGTACAGGTATACCACAGTTTATTTATCCATTCACTTGCTGACAGATCTTTGTATCATTTTCAGTTTTGGGCAAACAATCTAATTCCTTTCAAATGCTGTACAGGTAATTCTGGCAACATCATCACGAACATCACTGCCATTCTCTCAGCGGACTTTGATTTTGATGCTCAAATTTCCACCACAAAACTGTGATATATGAAGAAATACAGAACTGCCGAAGCAGCCACTACACTGTGTGCACTTAAGATGAAACGTGGTTTCCAACCGTGCTTACTCCTTGCAGATGAGGACCGTGTTGCTGCGACACAGGTAGCCTGTGTACCTGGCGCCGGCTAGGTAGGCCATTAACTTGAGGTCATCCCTGTCACTGTCGACAAACCCAGTTACAGAGATAATCTAAGAGAAAGAGCACAAAGGTCAGAGCACAGCAGTGCAACCCAGTTAACGCAACTCCCTCCTCTCCATTCTGGCGGTTTCGCAGACACGTGCTTTCCCACTCTTCCTCTGGTATCACGAGAGAGATCTGGTCACAGCATTCCTAAGAATGTCAAAGCCAGAGGTTTGTTAACGGTTAAAAATGTTACATACTCAGTGTCAAGGGCGGGGGGACCTTTTTTGTGTTAATATGATACTATTCAGAAAATTTTAAGTCATTTTATTAAGCATGTAAATATTAGTCACGTCTCCCTTCTCTTTGCTGATGCCAGTTTGGTGCTCATCTGGGTGGGAGAACCTGTAACCAAGTGAGAAGGTCTGTCTGGTAGTGGCCACTGCTGGTGTAAGACGCTGATTGATTTTAGGAATCTGAATAGCGTCAAGGACTCTGGAGAATGAATCAAACATCTGCCCTGTGCAGGAAGCTGTGATGCTACAGGGGCCCGAGAGGAGTAGGCGGGGATGTGCCTTACGTGCTGGGAGCAGGGCTTCCCGCCCGGGGGGAAGGCCACCGGGAAATGCAGGGCCCGGTGCGGCGGCACCATCTTCTTCTTCTTGAGGACAGCGTTCAGCCAGTGCGCCGTGACGCACCGCCGCCGCTCCTTCATCGCCTGCGGATGGGACAGGACAGAGCAGGACGGGCTTGTCGCCTGGGGTCTCAGCCGCAGGCTACGCGCGCAAGCGCGAGGCTCACTGGAAGCCCATCGATCGGGGGGTTTCACGGGCTCAGCACCCAGTTTACTGAAGTAACAAACTACCGCAGTGCAGCAGGGGACTTACTGCAGCCCAGGCTGTGACTGCCCACAGGGAGCAGGGCCCTCCCGGCGGACGGCAGAGGGAGGCACCACCTCGGACAGCTACCCTGGAAATGACCTTCGTCACGGAAGGAGATGACGTTTATGGTCATCAAAATCACCACACACACACACACACACACACACACACACACACAATGAAAAACTCTAACCGCCCACCTGAAATCAGCCTCCGGGGAACCTCGTAAGTGTTCCCGCGTTTTTAGTTGGAGGTGGAGCCAGTGAGCCTTTAGGAAGAGCTTCCTAGAGGCCCTTTGTCACACACACACACAAAGTGCCAGTTTGCCCACAGATAAGCACGCTTCTAAGAAATGGGGAGAAATGGACCTGGAGGGATGGGAGGAGGTGACGCTGGGGAGGAAGCTGTAGGCCTGTGAGGCTACGCCCAGCCAGACCTGCGCCAAGTTCCCCGCCAGCCGCGGAGCCCTGCGTCCCCACTGGGCGCTCAGTGTGACCTGGGGTTTGAGGGGAAGGGTGTCCGCCCTCTCCTTCCTGTCCCTGTTCCTCAAAGACAGAGAAGCCTGAGGGCCACAGAGCTACCCATCCCACCAAAGATCCATGGAAACTGGAACCAAGCAACTTGCCTATTTCCAGTGGTGGAAACAAACCCTTTCCAAACATGGCATCACTGGAGTCACCGAGAACCCCACGTGGTCCCTAGAAAGGGACATTCAGACCTGTCCCAGCCCCAGCTGAGCCTCCACTCACCTGTGCGAACAGCCCGCTGACCTGGCTCTCACAGAGGAGGTGTGTGCAGCGGCTGGAGAGCGTGGGGTCCACGGTGCCGCCGTGCGCCCGGATTATCTAGACACACAAGACCCAGATCGTCACAAGTCCGCACCCAGGAGACAAGAACTCACTTCAGGTACGACGGCTATTACAGTGTCTGCTGTGTGTTCACACCGTACACTTCCCCCAAATGTGAAAGGTACGCGTCGGTTCCGTGTGCGGACCTATCACTATAAAACAGAAGTGGACAACACTCGTCTCATCTCCATTTCCAGAGGGAAAGAAGAAGAGTGGAAGGTGTCTTTCCAGAACAGGGTCTCTGGGCCGGCACCACTGACATTTCGGAGCAGCTGGTTCTGAGTGAGGGGCTATCCCGCACACCCCGGGAGGCTGGCCGCGCCCCGACTCCAACCACTCTGTGCGACAGCGCTCCCCCAGCTGTGACAACTAGAGTCGTTCCACACACTGCCGGACATCCCCGGGGGGCACCAAAGTCTCTGCTTTTAAGCATCACTATTCCAAAAGGAAAAAAAGCAAATCTCAATGAAGTCGGTGAGCATCAAAAATTTATTTTAAAAAACATTCAGTTTTTTGGGATGAGGGGACTACTCAGTGCCTCGACTGTTGTGGTTACGTGGTTACATGGCACTAGTGGCACGTGTCAAATTCGTAACACTGCACACCAAAAAGGTGAGAACTTCATCATATGTTTAGAAAGGCCTGCCCCACAGAATGACTCTTCATTCACAACTTTTTAAAATTAATTTTTATGTTTCACACAGTGATTCACAAACACAGTTGGACAAGGCCCAGGACAGAACCAGCAGCCTCCTGTCCCACTCATGTCCTCGCCCTGAAGGCCACCACACTGGCTCGTGACCTGTTTCTTCTGGTCGTCACTAACAGACCCTAACTAGCACGTCATGCTCTTCCTGTTTTCTGGTTTTAGATGTTACCTACCAGCCTCCTACTGTGAAGCCAGGGTCCCCCGAATAACACACACACACATACACATGCGCGCACACGCACACGAGCCTTCCTGACTAGGTTCTATCACGATTCCTGCTTAACTCAGTCTCTGGGATTTAAAGCATGTGGCTCAGCCACCTGCTTTCCTAAGGCATACCAGGACAGGTACCAGCTCCCTTCTGGTACAAACTTTTGCTTTCCCTGGTGCTAATAAATGTCTTATTCCTCTCCTTCTCACCTGTCTTGGTCTTAGTTTTCTAGGCACCTGTCACTGTTTCATTTCCAGACTCTTCAAAGAAACATAACGTGCCGCCTCATAACTGTGTGGACAAGTCCCCTGTCACTCCTCCTCCTGAAGCCAGAGCGGGACTCGGCCTGGAGCATGGGCCGGGCTGACAGACCACGGACAGACCACGGCGAGTGTCTCCAGACTCAGCTGGGAAAGACAATGCTGCGCCCTCCCTGTCACAGGTCAGACACCTGGGGAGCCAGCGCCACACCGAGGGGGCCGAGCCACCACCACCGCTAAGCCACTTCGGGTTTTCCCACCCGGGAAGAAATCACAAGACAGTGAACGTCTGCAGTTTAGGTCCCTAAACTTTGGGAGAAAGTGTCACAGCACTGGACAGCTGAGGCAGCATCGTCTGTGTTATGGCTCGCTGGTCACCTGCCACCTTTCCCACATGCCGTCTCTGCTGGACCCTGGCCCCTCTCCACCTCCAGCCTGCTTCCATGTCCATCTGGATTCCCTTCCCCCTCACTCTGTGAGGCCCTTCCGTCTGGGGGCCAGAGCCCCACCCTGGGTGCCCACACCCGCCTCTGCCCGTGCAGTGGCTTCCTAAGAGCGGGCACGTGGGCAGCACGCGTTTTCATGGTGCAAGTCTGAAAACGGCTTGACCTAGTCTCATTCGACTGGCAGGCTGGCTACGGGAGTCTAGGCTGGAGATTCCTTTCCCTCAGAATCTTGAAGACATAACTCAATTGTCTTCCAGCTGCTGGGCTGTGCCTGAGAAGCCAGACACCCCAGCCCGTGATGGCCACCCCTCGGCTCCTGCGCTCTTCCAGCTGCACTCGGGCTCCCTGCACGCTCCCCGCGGCCCCGCTCCCCCGGGGAAGCGCCCTTTGGTCCCTCGGAAGTAGGTGATTTCCTTTCAACTTCCTTGCCTTCGTCTCCTCTGTCTCCAAACCTGTGTTATTTAATGTTGGGCCTCTTGGACTAACCCTTTACCTTAAGCAAAATCAAAACCCCCACAAACCAAAGGCACACCTTTTCTAATCTTCGAGTTTTGTTCTAGTTTTTTAAGGATGGTTTCTAAACATTACCTCCTACACTTCCACGATTTAAAAAAAAAATTGCTGCTGTGATTCTCAGACAGGCCTCCCTCCCTGGCCCAGCCACTGTCCCTGTCCAGGTTATCACCGTGTCTCCACCAGCCCACTGTGCGGCCATCCCCCAGTCTTCCTTATTCTACACTCACGATTAAAATGTGCATCTCCCCACTTCCTGTATGCTTTAGAAACCACGGGGATGAACCCCAATTTCCATAACACGGCACGTAGTAAGGTCTGGAACAGGACGGCCCCCCCGCCCCCAGGCCCGCCCACCCCCAGCAGTGTGGGTTTCCTGCCGCCCCGTCCCCCTCTGCAGCCACGTGTCTCTGCCTGTGCCACGCTATCCGGGATGTCTTCCCCTGAACTCTGACTCCGACGTGTCCTTCAAGACTCAGTCCAGGAACCACTCCTCCTGCAGACTCCTCTCGACGAGCACCCTGATGGGCTAATGAGTGTACTTTCTCAGGGCCCCCCGCACCTACCGCACCGTCATCTGCGCGTGTGGCTGCTTCCCCAGCTGGCTTACAGCTCCCCGAGCCTTGTGTGGTCACCAGCGCTCCCAAGCCCTGCAGCGGGTCCGGCACACGGCAGGGCCCAGCGCAGAGAGAGCTGGCTGGGAAGCACATTCAACATGTAGCTGACACGCTCACACTCTTTTCTTTTTTAAACAACATTTTGACTCAATTTTGATGCAGTGGTGGCATTGCAAGAAGTGTTTACTTTTTCTTTTCTTTAAAGGCCACCATGCAAAGTAATTAATTAATTAAACCGATTTTTCAAAATACAGTTCCACACCTGGGCTAGAAGACTGAGGCCCCTTCTAACCTGGAGACCAGGGTTTTTTCCCGCTAGCCTTTGGAGCACAGAAATGACCAAGGCATGTACAAGTCGGTATCCTACTCAAGGTCACTAAAATCAGATCTTCCGGCAGCCCCAGTTACACATGAGTAGTTCATGCCCCTTAGAATGTCAAGACTGAAACGAATTTTAAGAATGAGAAAGTCCAACATTTTCCCCTCACAGCGAAGAAAACTGCAGCCCAGAAAAGTGATCTGCCCAAGGTGACAGAGTGTTAATAAAGTGCCCATAAGCACGCGGAGCACGTGTGTGTCCCGGGAACCTCACCCTTTTCCAGGTGGCCAGCAGCTGTCTGTCAGACATCTGCTCTGGGTAGTCCGCAACTGCAAACACGCAGCCCAGTAAGAAGCCTTCTTCTGGAACTGGAATAGAATTATACCAGAAAAGCAAGTCAAAACCCCAACCCCATGAATGTGCAAAAAATAAAAAAGCTCATTCTGCAGAGTTCCGTATGAATTCACCAAGTTAATTAATGACTCTCGGCCGTAAAGTCCCCACAAGCACTCTGAGCACACTCGGAATACTACCACCAACAGGGCTGCCTGTTTATACGAAATGATTTAAAAAGTGAAACCAACAGAGCGCATGCCTAGGCACTGAAGGCTCTAAGTTGGGCCGGGGCGGCCTGATGTCCTACGGACACACAGGGACTACGGGCGCACTGCCCCAGAGAGGCGAGGAAACCCAGCGGCCCCAGGCTGCAGCCATGTGCCTTGTTAGGCAGCGAGACCTACGCTCCCGCCTGGTGAGAGGTGCTCTGATACGGCCCCCCCGCACCCCACCGGAGTGCTTCTGTACACATAGGACTTTAGGAGAAAAAAGGAAACCCCATCACGGACTGTCCACTGCCGGGTCGTGTCCAAACAGCTGGGGCTGCACGTGCGGGGGCTGTGGCGGGGGCTGCAGGCCCGGGGGCGCCGGGCCCTGCAGGGGCGGCGGCGGCGGCGGCTGGTGCAGGCGCTGGAGTTGCTGCTGGTGCAGCTGGGCCAGCTGGTGCTGCTGCAGCTGGTGCAGCTGCTGCTGCAGGGCCGGCGGCGGCGGCCGGGGCGGCGGCGGCTGCGGGAACAGGTGTGGCGGCGGCGGGGGGTAAGGCTGCGGGGCCGCATGCGGCGGCGGCTGCAGCTGCACGATCTGCTGGGGCGGCAGGTGCAGCACCGGGTGCGGCTGCGGCGGTGGCACATGCGGCTCAGGAGTCGCCTTCACCTGCCCTAACAGCACCGCGCTCGCGTGGCCCTGCTGGCTGTGGTTCACCTGCGGCTCCAAGGTTTTCGTAGGTGCTGAGAGGGACTGTAAAATCTGGAAGACAAAGATCAGGCCAAGTCACCATCAAGAGTCGCTGAAAGGCACTCACGTCCCCTTAGTCCAGAGAGTGACAGCCCAGCCCCCACGGTCCCCACCGCCCACCACGGGGACACTCAGAACCGTGCTCCAGTTCTCAGCTGTGTTTACTGAGCGCTGCCAAGTTCAAGGAAGTAAATAAATTTATATTCTGAGACCACCAACATTTGAAACCGAGTAAGAAAAATGGAATAAGCCCATGAATTAAGATACAAAAACCCCTACAGCTGATGCGTTTTAGGGCTGAGTGACACAGTGGCAAAAAACTGATGCTCCTTTCCAAACACCGACTTCCAGCCCACCCCTGGGGACAACCACTGGTAGTAGTTTCTTGTGGGTCTGCTGGGAATTTTCCATGTCCTGGTTATCAACTGGTATTGAAAAGGGAGGAGTCCTGTTCCTTTGACTTCTTAGGCTTTGGGGCGTCGGAGTCCTACACCGCCTGGCACGCGGAGTCCCTCTCCCGTCCACGCCAAAAGCCTTCTCTGAGCCCAGCGACACTCGGGGAGTGACGAGCCAGGAAGGCCTGACCTTGGCCTCCCCTCCATGGCTGGTGCACTAGAGGAGGCCAGGAAGAACCCTCCAGAGTGAAGGCGTGGGACATGAGCAACCCCCAACGGCAGTCGCCAGGCCCCCATCTGTGGTGGCCCCACCTTGCGTCCCAGCACATACACGAGGGACAGAGGAGACGCCAACGTTCCCCCACCTGAGAGGTCATCAGCACAGCTGGGAAGCTGGCCTTCCTCAGAAGTGACTCGGAGCTCTTTACACAGGACAAAGGGCCTCAGGTTGGAGAAAACCCTGACACCAGCCGCCATCCCCTTTCATGCCCCCTGCTTCCCAGTGACAGGAGTCAGCTGAGAGCAGTACCAGCCGCACAGGGAGCCAGGAGACACCACCAGGCCAGGCAAGCCTCACACGGCAGGTCACCCACCACCTCGCGCAGTGTGAGACAGAACAAAACAAACATGTCATACTGTGAATCTCCCCCATGTTGCTCAAATAACAAAGGCTGGAAGTCAGCGTCTTGTGGTCAGGGAAACCAGTAACCATCTTACTGCACTCAAACAACACAGCTTACCCCTATTAAAGCACCCTTGTCATTTAAATGCAACCCCAGAAACTCAACTTTCACATAAACCAAAGCTACATGAAAATCTCACACATGTTTTTAACATGCATCTTACACTTAAATACTGACTCTAAAACATAAAGGTTATATCATTTGCAGTAGTAACAGACTGGATTTAGTGATGAAACAAATGAGTTTAAAACTGAAATAAGTCCAACTCAAGGGCTCGGGTACATCTGTGCAGTCCTTATCCAGGTAAGGCAGCCTCCTAAGGGGACTTCCGGTACGTCATTCAAAACTCCTCTGCGGAGCTCCAAACAGGAAAAGAAGTCTTTAATTTGTAAAGAACAGGACAACTATTTCTTCTCAATGCAAGTATTAAAGAATATCCAGTAAAGTAGATGGAGAATTAACCCCGCCAGAGTCCTGCCCAAGTGCAGAACAGCATCTGGGATGCTGCCGTTTTCCACGAGAAAGCTCGTGGGCGGGGCACGCCTGCCCGTGTGCCTGCCGGGAGCCCCGG